GATGTTGATGGTGAGACGGATAGAGTGAATTATATGGCAGCTCCTCAGACTAGCAGCAGCAAACACCTGGTGGAGCTGCGCGCCTGCTGAGGTTTCCATACAAACTACTTCCCAGTCAAACGCTTCTAAGATGACGCAATGAATTCAGAGTGTTGGAAAGAGCAGGAGCTTCTTAAAGAGACAGAGGCCCAATTTCAGACTTAAATTTCTTTTAAGTCTTGTTTTGCACAACAATTTCATAACAATTTAAGGTAACGTAGTTGCTTTACTGTGCTATAAAATGACAGTGTGTGGCTGGAAAATGCATGATATTGCCCCTTTAGGTGAGCTGAAACCCAGTGCATGCCACAATGTTCTTTTTTTTTCTTCATTGTTTTATATTTGTTAATCTAGCATATAAAATTCCAGTTAAGTACATTAAAGTTTATGGTCATAATGTGAAGATATTTGATAATTTTTTTTTTTTTGCATGGCACTGTAATAAATCAAGGTACAAACCCGCTACAAAAAGTTTACATAAAGCAATTTTCGCCTTCTCTCTGCATTCACCTTCTAAATTCGGCTCTAACGCTGTGATTGCATCATCTCTCACCTGTCTTTCTTGTGTTCCTGAAATCAGCACAACAGCTGGCCTGTCAGAAAGTGTCATCTTTTGCAAAAGAAAACAGAGGAGAAAGTGGTTGCAGATGATCTTCAGTCGCACCCCCGTTGCTCTGCAATGAACTGCTCAACTCCAGATGGGGCTGACTCCTTCGCCTATTAAAGATTTATAGGCGAGTCTGCCATCGCGTCCCTGACCTTCAGTGCTGTAAGCAGGGGCCCGTGCTTTTAAAACGCCGGTAAGTGGGGACTCAAGAGGGCAGGAAGTTGACAAATGACTTTGCTGGATTCGCCAGTCGACAGTTGGCAGGCTGACAGAAGCGAGAATGCAATATCATTTGCAGTAATTTTAACTGACCTCACAATGTGACACGAGGCACCGCGGCTCTGACAGCTGCTGCAGATGTTTTGCAGAGCAGAAAACTGTCAGAAAAGCACAGAAAACAATTATTTCTTTTACACACACCATTTTTAGGTAGCAAATAGTTCAGCCTCTCTTATATTCCACTGGATTTGACTCTATTATTCACTTTTGATATTTCTTTGCCTTTTCCAATCAGAATAAAGAGACAGCCTATTGTATTGTCATGTATAAATTTTAATCAGTGGTTAATCAAGTACTAAAACCCGTTTTGCACTTTGATGTACTAAATTCAAGTGTTTTAAAGTAGGATAACACTCACAGACATGCACACGTTTATACACGGTGCCTTCCCCAGGGTTACACAACATGCAGCAGAAACAGGCTGGAATCAAACCAACAATTGTTTTATCAAGATATTTAATTGGGTGGAAGGTTAAGAGAAGGAGTCTTATGCTTGTTTGAGAAGCTCAACATTATTTGTGGCATTTTTAACCTGTGTTTTCATGCCAAATCTGACCAAAATAAAACATAAAACGACTCAAACGGCAGCTGTAACAGCGTGTATCGCCTGTAAAAAAAAAAAAACAGCAACAAAAAAAACAACATCTTAGCAAAAACAGTACTGTGATGTGTAAGATCAGTTCTGACAGGCAAGGCCTCCAGAGAGAGCAAGCTGCTGTATGCGAGAGGTGAAAATGGATAAAAAGTCTCTGCAGAACATTTGACTGATGTGCAGCGATTTACAGCACATTTGATATGGACCATTAGGGATGTCTCATGTGAGATGAGCTTTATGTAACCACAGCGTAAAATGCAGGGGGAGGATTTACTGTAGGTGTTGTAAAAGAGGATCCAATCTCTTCTACTGACTACAGCTCAGTCAGGAGGACAAAGAGCTCTGTGCCGCTTTTATGGCTTCAAGCTTCGCCTTCTCCTTGTTACCTGTTGATGCTGAAGTCCAGCTCCACACACTGTGAATTCGTTATACTTCCTACAAACTGCAGGGGTTTAAACACCAAGTTTTTGACACACATTTCTGAGTTTATTTTTATTTTATTTATTTCAAACAGACAATATAAAGTCAAAACATAAAAAATAAGGTAAACAGTCATCCCGACTGACATGCAATTTTACACAAATTGTTCGAAAAAGAGCAGGTAGAAGATAAAACATTTGATTTCTTGCCTCTCTCATACACATCAACATAAAATCATTTACGTCTCCCACACTGTAGTCCCACATTAAATGATGTTTAAACCTCCCATTCATTCACTGACTTGGTTTTTAGCCCTGATTTAAAGGAACTCAGTGTTTCAGCATTTTTTGCACTTTTCTAGAAGTTTATTCCAGATTTTTAAAAATGCCAAAATGTTTATAAAGTCCGTCCACAACTCCTTGCTTTCTTGCCAAACTGCTCAGTCTTTTTCTCGTCTAAAACTTTTCTCTCACAGGCATCTGGATTGTCCAGCTGACATTTCTCTTGATCCTGAAGGCGGAGGTTTTTTTTGTTTGTTTGTGTTGGTCAGCACCATGACCATCACCACAATGACCCTGGTGTTTCAGAGGTTTTCAGCTACAGACAGAAAACCTTTGTGGGTTTTCCTGAACATTCAAACACATTTTCTTTAATCTGAGGTTGGCAGATTGGAGTTTCCTCCAGGTCTTGGAAATGCGTAAACCCAGCTCAATGACGTCTTCTACTGCTGTTTAAGCCGATAACAGTGATTTAAAAATAGAATGTTACAGCTGCTGTAAATCTACAGAGCTTCACTGAGCTTCGTGGACCTTCCCATTTTTCTGAGTGCTGGTCTGTCCAGTCAGTGCCGTCAAACAGAAACTGTTTCTATGCTGCTAAAGAGAAACTACCAGCTGTGTTTTATCAGTTTATTGACCTTCGCCTCTTCAGTTCAGCAGAGAGAAACTCCAAACTTAGCAGGAAGTGGCAGTGCAGTGAACTTGAACTAAATTCGGAACAGATACAATAGTTTAATGAGAACTACTAATAGCACACAGTTAAGTTCAACAAGTTTAAACATAAATCCAATTGAAACTAGTTAAATAGAAAGTTAATTGTGTATACTATGATTTCAACGTTTCTTTAGGTGCAACCAGAGAACGAGGACACTATGCAACACATGCATCAGATGAGATGAGAATAAAACCCTGAAACCCACTCAGGCCCTTTAAACAGCACTTGTCCTGTTTGCTAAGTGTTGTGGACAGTGGCAGGATGTGGCTGCAGAGAGGTGGAAAGTCCAGGGTGAAAGCCAACAGGAGCCTGGGGGCAAGACGCGTCATGTGCTTATGCTCCAGTAAGCTCCAGTTCACCAGAGGTTAAGTGGGTTTTAGCATAACAGAAATATATGAACAAGCAGTGAAGGAGGGCAGCGCTATGTGACAGCCTCTCATGAATCCTGAATTCTCATTTTGATTTTGAAGCCTGCTCCCGGGCGAGGTTGGTTCCCTAAGACACACGGCGCAAAAGCAAACTCTGGTTGCCGCTTCCGAGACGAGGCTGTGCACCGAGTAATCACTCGCCGAGACCCCGGGGGACCGCAGGCAGACTCTCTGACTTGTGAGTCCATTTTACCCCTGGAAACATGGTTCATGCCACTGACCAGGAGCTCTGCTTCAGCGCCCACACTGCTCTCAGAGGAAGTGACCTCAATACATCCAATAACCCTGCTCACAGGAGCGCAGCTGCTGCAGAGGACCGGAGACTCACCGGCTTTCTTATCTTAGAGGAGAGGATGCTGCTCAGATGGAGCAAAATGTCAGGAGGACAAATGTTTGCAAGTTTACACACCCAGAAATACAATTTATGGCCACAAACATTTATCCAGTAATAAAGCTTAAAGTGTTAAATTCATCATTTGACACATGATGTCTCTGTTTCTTGTATTTGGATCCACATTAGTTGAAGTTCCCTGCATCTACTTTTCCTGAGGTTCACACATTCAGCATAAACAGCTAAAAATACAAAACATACACACACAATAAATTAAAAAATAGAACTACAAAAACAGACAAATACAAACATAAAACAGAGGTCATAGGCCAGAAGAAATTAATAATACTACAATGAAATGTGTAATATGTATAATATTGTGTTATATTGATTGTGTGTGTTTTTCCATATTGTCACCTTCCTAAAATAATTTGCCAGAAGTTATTTGTTTTTTCCTAAATCATTTTTTGGCAATAAAAATGGCACAAACCCCCCACCCCCAAAAAAACAACAACAAAAAAAACAAAAACAAAAAAAACAACAACAAAAAAAAACAACTTAGGCCATTATTTTAGGAAGGTGAAGATATGGAAAAACAGCAAATATAACATTACATAAGATTAAGATCATTCAGGATAGTTGTTTTTCTTGTAAACACCTTCTTGAAGCTGTTCAAAATTCACTCTCCTGATGTATCTCCAATATATTTTTCGGTTGCTTCAGATAGAGTTTAAATACACAATAGCCTCTAGATTTATGGGTGAGCCAGAAGATCTGACCAAGATTTGGCAAGAAAACTATAAAAATAGGTCTCATTTATATAAACTGCACATATTTTTGGTTCCTCTGTGTTATTGTGGCTGTTAAGGTAGCACTCTGAGCTGCAGGAGCTGATCTGCACTGATTACCTGCGCCTCACCCGGTGTTTGCGTGATTGTGTGAGATCTGCTCTTTGGCCACTGTGACTGTTGTTTTCCACCGAGATGCTAATCATGCAGCATGTGCCGGAGGCATGATTAAATGTCACACACACCCCCCACCCCTTTTCTGCTCTCCCTCACTGTGAACAAACCTGGATCACACTCAGCCGGAGGAGGCCTGGAGTCTGCACACACAGCTCAGCAGAACAACAGCTCCACCTACAGGTTGAGCCATGAAAGGTGCTTAGTGTGTACACCGCCGCATCATTCCTGCTCCATCTTCCATGGATAGTGTAAATTCTGGAGGTCATGTGAAAAAATGTAGGCAATTCAAGGCACTCCTGCATTACAAGGGCTTTAAAAAGCGTTCTCAGATTTCGTCCGAATATAACCAAAGTAATCAGTGTATTTTTATTCAGATTACATGCAAAAGACCAACAAAAAATTGTGCAGCATTTAGAAACAAAAAATACAGAAAAAATGTGTTGATTCTTTTAGGGGCTGTAAGTCTCCAACAGCTCTTTACAGACTGACATTCTTAAATGTTCGACTTTGAAAACTGTACCAAGACCAGATTAGATGGCGATCATCTGTGAACATCATTTTTCTGATATGGCCAAAGATTATTGAATGGATTCAAGTCTGGGCTTTGACTGGGCCATTTTAACACATGAATGTGCTTTGATCTTAACCTATTGTAACTGAGGTTGAATGTTTAGGGCCGTTGAACCTCCAGCTCAATCTGAAGCCTTTTGCAACCTCTCAGGTTTTCTTCTAAAATTCACTTCTCCCTAAATACTAACAGCATTTTTGCCGTGAGATAAGCAGAAATGTTACATTTTGGCCAGGACTCAGTTTCTCTATGCTCCACAAATCTTGGACAAACTAAAACTGCAAAACAACCAGAAAGCAGATACATTGCTATTCATAAATTAAAATTTTATTTTTTAATGTTTCTATTTTATTAATGGCAAGGAAAATCTATGAAGTTTTGGTGACCAGAAATTATGTACCTTCAAAAGTGCAGTAACTGAGCATGAACAGCAAAAATACATGTTTTTTAAATAAACTTTAAGTCAAATATATAAAATAGAAAGAGACCTTTTCCGATATCAACATATACAACATCAGCAACATAACTAGGAAACAGTTTTTTTTAACAGTATAAATGTCCAACAGTAATAAATGCACAACATCAGCAACATAACGAGGAAACAGGTATTTTGGTTTTTGCCCAACCAAACTCTCACTATAGACATTCACACACTGTGTTGATCCAGGTGTTGGTTTGTTCTCTCCAGTTGTTCCTTCACTTCCCTTGCTTCAGGTCGATCATCTGGGTTCTCAGACAGCAAAGATTTGATAATTCGGG